CAGGAATGCAGGAGGAAGGGAGTCTGCGTGGCAATGGTAACGGGGCAGAGCCATGGAACCGGCCGCCTTTCCCAACAGGTTTCAAAGCGTTTTGGAAAACAGGAGGGTCAGTGTGCTGCGCCTGCCGCGCTCAGACCCCGCGTCGCCACCAGCGCGTCTGCCCGGTGGTAGATGTAACGCAGGTCTGGCCGGCATCTCCTCTCCCAAGGATGCTCTTGCAGGAGGAAGGTGTCGGAGCGAGGAGGAGCGCGTTATCCGTGCGGGATCACCCCTGCCCGGCAGTTGGACTTGCAGCCGGGTGTCGTGGCTTTGAACCCAGCTCTGCCTTCAGTCCCAGCCCGGGGTTAGCGTGGATGATGTCTGCAGACACGTGATGTTTCCACAGGAGCCCTGGTGCCTCCTGTAATCTTGCGTTATCCCTGCCCGCTCCCCAAGGGGTGAGAGCTGGCGTTCCTGTTAACTTTAGGAGTTTTGGGGAAGGTTTTGCGTGTGTTGGGTTTAAAGGGAACATCACAGTCCCCTGTGATGGAACACACATCAGCACGGAAAGAAAGAAAAGCCAGCGCCCATCGGTGCTGTTTCAGGGTATCCAGCCCAAGGCGGAAGACAAAAATCCAGCGGTCACTTCTGCAGACATTGCCGGATAGGTCTCTTGGCACGCAGTCAACAGCAGAGCCGTGGTTTGGTCCCAGCATTTCATTTTTTGCCCGCTCTGCTGGCTCTTTAACTCCTTTTAAAGGTAGAAAGTCTGATTCACGGACAAAAAAAAAAGTCCTTCTTCTTGTATTCAGGACGTTTCCCGTAAAGCAGGCAGCATCTGCCCGCAGGCAGCGAAGCGATTCCCAGCATCACCTCCTGCCTTTAAAACCTCAGGTTTCTGGTGGCAGCGGCTGAATTCCATGGCAGGCAGGGAAGGGCGCCGGGCAGCCGGGATGCTGGCCGCCGGTTCGCCCGCCGCGGTGCCTCATCCCGACGTTGGGAATGAGTCAGGCCAGCTCATTTCTTCTTGGGAACTACCAAGTCATTTAGGGACTCATTTGGTAGGCTCTGATGTACGGGCCAGGTTGACTTCTGTCAGCACCGGTGGCTCTATTAACACGCAGAAAACGATGTTTAAAATAGCACTAGGAAGGTTAGAAAGCCGAACGAACGCGCAAGGATTAGGCAATACGGCCATTCAGGGTACCCATATAATTTTAATTTGGCTTCCATTATATTTGTGCGTAATGATGCAGTCTTTAATAACGTGATCACATACTGGTTTTCCACCGGCACCTGCTCATTCAGAAAAAAGGATGCTGGGATGAATCAGAGCGCCGTGGTGAAGGCAGTTGTTATCTGAGTGAGGTGTCAGCATCTCGGTGTGTGATGGGGCTGGGTGACGGCGCGGTGGCACGGGCAGGCGCTCTGTGTTACGGCCTGGGATGCTCTGTTGGCATCGGCAGGTCCCTTCGGCTCCCACCCCCGACATGGGGGCTCACCCGGCCGGACCCCCACGATTAGCCCGGCCGGCCATGGTCGGCACCGTGGCGCTCGGGATGCACCGCCCAGCACGTCGCTGCTCTCCG